ATTTTTGATTCTTGCCGTAAGTAACTTAATTTATTGAGTAAATCTGTAAATTTTTGCGAAACCGCACCGTAGTTTTATTTTTTGCCATTTTGCTTGCCGTAAGTTAGATCTTTTCTGCTTCTGCATTTCTCACCGTTAAGTACCGAAATTTTGAATTCCTTTTCCATCGCATTCGCCGATTTGTGCTTTATTACTTTCGCTCCCGATAAAGAGTCTGCCGTAATTCTGTTTCAGTTTTGCCGAAATGACCGCCGCCATCTGCTGGTTCTACAGAATTCTCGGAGTTACCGTTTCTCCGATTGAGTTTACTCCAGAGACCCAAAGAAGTGGTGAAATTTGCATTTCTTCTTTAATGTTTTTCTCAGCAACCATAAGAGCTACAAAGATGGGTGGCACGTCTTTGAATGGGTTTTCGGGTATTCCGTATCCGATTTTGAAAAATTTTTTTCATAATTCTTACCACGAAAGGGCGCACCCCTACTCGGGGGTGCGAAAAAAATTCTGATTTTGACGAAATTTGGTATCTGGGGGTTTTTGAACATAAAAATCGCGAATGTGGAATTAGTTTTTGAAAGTTCCAAAAAAAAAAGTTCCACTGCAATAGGTACTTGGTCGGACAACGAAAATGGAGAGAATTCCACGAAACTTGTTGTGTATACTTGATGAGTTAAGGAACAAAATTGTCGAACAGTTTTTTAAAATAACTTTTCAAACAAAAGTTATACTCATTTGAAGATTGGGCCTTCGGGTTACAAAGTGACCCCCGCCTACTAGTGAGTGATCTTATTTCGTATGCAGTTAATTGAAAATGTCGCAAATAACAAAAAAATAACCTCTAACGAAATGTTGCTATGTACAATATTAGATGTACTAAAGTTGTCCGATTGAATAAGGAAATGCAATCAAGCTTTTTAATTATGTCATTAAACTGATGTGACGTTCAACTATTGTGGTATAATAAATATGTTTATGGAAATGTTTTACTGACTGGTTTACTACCGTGGGTTTAATTCAAACGTAGGTATAGGTAGATACTTTGTATAATTTCATTCTATGGAGGACTAAAATATGAATTATACATATTGTAGATAAGTAGATCGAGTCAGGCTAGATAAAAACGGAGCTACAAACAGAAAACAAAAGGCAAACAACAAGAAAATAGCGAAGAACAAAACAATGGTGAATTAAAACCAAAAAATGTATAGAAGAAAACACTGATAATCTGATGGTAATGCAACTAGCCAAAGTTGAATTACCGAAAGTTGTTTAATAATCCTAACTGACATATTGGCTCAGTTTGTGGTCACCACATGGTAAACGTAATGTAATTTCTAAGTTCTAACGCTGCGAGTATTTGAAGGATACACGACGTTTAATTATAAGGTGCCTAGATCATAACTCATAACCCCTTCTTTTCTATCAGCAAATGCTTTGGAATGCCTGTGTGCAGTCACTATAGCATTAGGAAACATTACATACGATTACGGCAATATTTATGGATGGAAGGACCGAAGAGACTGTTTCTAGTCCCAAAACATTTAGACTGTAATGGATTCAAGGTAGTTATATAATCTCATAGTACTCGTACCGACAATGATTCAAAACCACCAAAATTCTAAAAGTACATAATTCTGAGAAGCGATAAAATTTTGGCAGGGAAAGTTGTAAAGAAAAGACATACATCAAGTACTACCATTCGTTATGCAATAATAAATGGGATTTTTTGAAATGTTCACACGACATAACCTGCAATTAAAATCCGATTCAATACAGAAAACTGCATAAATTTGTATATTAAAACAATTTAAGTATTTGCTTATCCCGTACATAATGGTTATAATTTGCTTTACGTTTCACTACTTAAATTATTTCTAACGCAACTGATGTAATGAACACATTATAAAACAAAAGGTGTTATGAGAACAAAAAAAGTGCCGGCTACATACAGCGTCGTAAAGAAAGAGAAAGTAAAACTCCTCAAGATTACTTATTGCACCCCCATAGAATGTAATTTAGAAATTTTTAGTGCCGGCGCTGTACAGATTCTGGCTTTACTTTCTATGAGGCAATTTGATATTTAGATTTTTGAAACCTCTCAGCCGGCAATTGTAGGTATGTAATTACTGATGCAATTCAGTCGATCACAATAATTGTTAGCTTGAAATTGAGCATTAAATACATCTAAAGATCAATTTAATGCTAGACATAAAAAAAATTGAACCAGTTTTGTTGTATGGCTTGAAGTGAACAATGAAACAATCAGGAAACGAAGATAATGTAGAAAGTTACGTAACGCGAACAATACAATGCGAAGGATGGAGGAAGACTGGAGTCGAGATTTGCAGAAGTCTTGCAAATTAATTAAGTACAGTAATCAGGTAGTAAAAGAAGGCGGGTTAATCAAATACTATTGTCATTAACTGCGTGGGCGTGATAATAAGTAAAAGACATTTAGAGGTGATTTACTGATCGCCACGTTCAAGTATTGTTCAAAAAGCTAATGGATTGCCCGATTGTCTACAGTGCAACTTTACTCTAGTAGCGCAGGGCTCTGCTTAGGCCCTTAAGCTCCATAGCTGTTACCTACACAAAGCAAAGACTTTCATCTATTTTTTACTTATGGAAAATGCAACGTTTTGCATATACTAAATAAATAATCAAAAAAATTTCGACGTCCCATTCACCCACAATTCGCGTTTGAAGTTTTAACTACACCATCAGAAAGATCTTGTCCCGCATTTACTGCCAGCCAGTCGGCCTGCCCGCTAGCCGGCAAAAGTAAGATTAAATGCGCTAAAAGGCAAGAGATTATCACTTTTGTTTAAATACAAAAACCCAAACCAAAAATCCCCTTGATATAAAATAAAGAATTAAGAAAACTATGTCAGTTGGGTCCATTTTTTTTGAAAACTTAATTACCACCTTTATCTACGCCGTTATCTAAATTGAAGGAAAATAGTACTTTTTAAGTTATGCTGAAATCCTTCCCGTTGCTAGAATAATAAGCTTATAAGTGCGACGTTGTAAACGATTACAAAAATTTATATCGGCAATTTGTTACGCGCAGTCGTGTGTAAAGCTGAGGTGTAGAACTATGGATTGTAAATAATAGAAGACAAGGACGAATAATTAAAGTATCATCTACAAGGTGGGTATGACATCAGTAAATATCCATTACAAAGATGTGAAGAACTGAGAACATTATAAATTATTATGTCTAATTAGAATGTTAAATAAAGAACAAAGAGTTTGTGGCGACCATAACGCCATCGACTCCAACGTGATTCAAAGAAAAACCGTACCTAAAAATCTAATAGTGATTGTGTACGGACAACAACTGAAGAATGCAAGAACAACTACAGGAACAGCAAATTCTCATGGCGCGGCTTCAGCGGAAACCAGACTTTTAATCCGGCTCATATTTCATAGCACTGATCTTTGAACCCGTAAAAATCGATTGGCCAAGGTTTAACATCATAAGGGAAATTTTTTTATTTCGAAAAATTCCCCTCAAAAGGTTAGATTACAATTTTTTCGGTAAAAGGACTCCGTCCTATGGTTTGGACAACTAGATGCCGAATTCCATACATGTAAAATCAGGACAGTCTGTCCTGGACAGACATCACAAGATTTTTACAGTGGCAGCTGAACTAGATTGTAATGTATTACAACATGTCTCCGACGTCGACCCTAGACAGATAAACACGAGACTAAAGACAAACTCCTACCGGCGTATTCTGACTCACAAAATTACGAATTGCGAAAGAGGAATTCCAGTTTATGATGGACTAAGGATGGTTCCGACTGTCCAATAGCCCGTGGATTCATCAGGTCCCCAAGAAAACACCAGGAGACTGAAGACCTTGCGATGATTACAGACCATTAAATAACATTATCTCCCAGAAAAGTATCTGGTGCTAAACTTGCAAGACTTTTCTTATACGCTCCGCTTATAAGTCCAAAATGATCGTAACTTTTTTATTATGAAAAATTCACGATAATGCTATAGAAAGTTAAATAATCACAATGCCTTGGAGCATCGAATGAGCTATAAATATTGGAAATCGATATCGTGAAATAAAAAGTTATGATAGTTCAAAGTGCGCACTTTACATCTGCTACACGAATTTTGGAAGTTGACGGTCATTTTTCTAAAAACAGTGCATAACAAGGTAGGTAAATATGAATGCTGTAGATTCTGCTATAAATGTACTTTCATTTTACAAAAGGAATGATTGATGTATATCGCTTAGTTGCTGAGAAAATAAATACTTTCGGTGGTCTAGTCGCGCGCGCGAAAATGAGTAAGTTTCAACTTTAGCGGCCTATAACTTTTGTCAGGACCACGGGAAAATGTCGTAAAGCGAGATTCTGAAGGTTCAAACATTTCTGAACAAAATGGTGTGGGTCCCAATTCTTTCTACCCCGAAAAAAAAACTACCTCAAATAAGCGAGTTAGCGCTGGCTCTCCGCTGCACTAATACTTCTAATGGTCCACTGCAAAACATCAACACAAATTCTATTAATAATTCTGCGAATAATGTGTACACCGAAGATCGTTTCTGACGCATTTGCACACAGCACACTTGATTTTCCAGCTACAGGTAATTAGTTCTTTACAACTTTTTGCGATATTTGGGATAGTAGACCACAATGACTGTGACAGGTGGTTGCTTTAGGCTTCAAATTTTACAAAATTGCCGGTATACGTGTACCACTTCATAATGAAAGAGAACGGAACTAATATGTGAAAGAATGAAGCGCGTTCAGATCAATTTTTAGACCACCGTTTCTGAGATACTTGATGTATTACTACCTATATTTTTGTATATATCATTGTAATCAGGATAAAGAATGCAAAAATTGACGTAAAGATATATAGGGTGTTGCATTTAAAAAATCCCAACATTGGGTCAAATGTTAGAAACAGTGGCCCAAAACATTTTTTTGACTACGACACTGGATTCTACGTAAAAATATTTAAAAGAAATAGTTTTTACCTTTTTTTTTATCTTACATGGATAGTAAGATAGGATAGCATCCCTTAAAATCACACTTTTCGTTTTAATCCTGTATCTCAGAAACAAACGTAGCTATTGATTCTGTTTGTGGCATTAAAAGTTTCACAAAAAAAGTAGCACAGGGTGGTAAAAACCCCAAGACCCAAATAGGACACACGGTACAGTGGAACATTCAACTTATAAACCTCTAGACCAGTGGTGCTCAAACGGTCGATCTCGAGAAATATTTGCGATTTTCAGAGCAGACCTACACCTACCTTGACTTAAAGAAAATTGATTTTGCGAAAAACTAAATTCTACCGTTTCTACTAATTAACTATAATGCTGGTCTAAGCACTTATAAAAACTTCTTTCATCCGTTGAGAGTCTAGAGGGTGGTTCCAACGGCGCGCATGACTACCAGGTTTATACCTATCTTTATTCTTAGCACAGCGATATTGAGATGAACAATTAACATAGTGGGAAATTACTCTACTTTTTCCCCATTCCTTTTTTAGATCATGCGATCTATAATAAAATTGGCTGAGCGATCATATTCGGATACGATAACATTATTGAAAACGGGTTCAGTGGGGCAGAGTCCACAGAGATGTGTATTAGTATTAATGAAGCAGCTCAGGTTGAAGTTTTTGGCCAATTTGCATAAATCCCTCAATGTCAACATTTAGTTTTTTTGTGTTAATTATTAAATTTTTGTTAAGACGAATATTGACTTTATTGGTACCACTGGAAAGCATTTTTCAGTAGCTTTCCAACGATGTGTCACAAGTATGGGGTTGCTATTTAGGATTTTTGAAGAGGGGGACTGGGGGGTTAAGTGGGGGTGAGAGGTTGTCATTCATAACGTCATTCTGGTTCCCCCCCGATACCCCCGAAACGGTTTTGCACGATTTTCAATATCTTCTTTAGTTTGGAAAATATGGCCGGCTGCAAGTTTTAAAATTGACACCCCGTATAGTAAAAGGGCAAGAAATATTATAATTAGTTGACGAAGACGTTGACGTTGACTTGATTTTGTACGATCGCCAATTCAAAAGGAAATTTGGTCTACGTGAGTTTTGATGCGTAAGTTTCATGGCTTTTGAATTGGTACTTATCAGCGTAAAATTTGGGAAATCTGTTTTGCTGGAAAAGGTTTAAATAAATTTGTTGCTAAAATCACTCACACATCTATCCTTTGTGCAGAATAAAGTTGATTTTGACTAACGTAAAATGCTATTATTTAAATTTTGCAAACTTTTTGAGATCGAATGTAAATGATTTATTCTCGGTCATGGTTCAACCCTCCCCTGCCCGAAATTGACCTTTTTAGGTGTGAAAAATGTTTAAATAAATTTCAGTATTATAGGTATACGTCTCATTTTGCAATCCAGACAAAGTTGATCTTCACGTTCCACTTTTCATAGGCAAAATGATACGGCGGTGCTTTAGATGTAAAAACCATGAAAGAAAACGCACTTTACATTCTAGCCCAGATAAGCAGAGTAGATACGTTAATTAATGGTAGACACTAAAGAGGTTAAGGTTGCTCGACGCGCATATAATTATAATAAATAAAATGTTTAATCGTATTCAATAAAATTATATAATGAGGAAACTTGTATGCGAAAATAGAAAAACTTAGCGGAAGGATTTTTATGTAAAACAAGCGGTAATGAATATTCAAAATAATTTGTCAACTTTCTATTTTCCCAATCAATTCATACGCGCGCATTAATTCGGCGGTAATGAAGATAATGAAAGTGAAAAATCTATCGTTTTTTTTTGTTACGCGTGGTATTAATTATTTAACAATTGCTTCACTTTCCTTCGTTTTCAAATATTTACCTCTGCAGGAAATGAGAATACTTTCAAATGCAAATCGGTAGCTCCTAGGAATTTTTGTTTTGAACAATAAAAAAGATTTACTGACAACGAGCCAATGTAAATATTTATAAATATCTCAGAGTTAATGGTTTATGAATCCCGAATAGTTTCTTCAAGTACCTTTTATTTGGTTTTGTAATGGAAGTATTGGTAAAGCGATCCATATGTCTACGCGTGGTTGGTGGTAGAAAATTTCTTCTTGTGCACGAACCGTTAGATGAAAAATTAATTGTCCCAGACACTGTTCGGAATCTCATTCATGTGTATCGGGGAGCGTCTTTTTAATCTCACCAGTAATTGTGCATAATAAAAATGCAATACATTTCGTAATATGAGAAATAAAATTGTTAATTGGTTGTTTTTGGAGAAAGTCCTCGTTAGAATACCAAGAATATTTATTCCCAAGTATCGAAAAAAATCATTTGAATAAGTAGGTATTTGTTTTTTTAATAAGGGCGATCAATTTCCATGATGATAAATTATGTCTTCTTCAATCATGATTTCTTCACTAACGAACGCGATGAGGCGAATAACCTTGTGCACTTTCAACAGTTTTCATCCTCGACAATTGACAAATTTGCTAATCACGTTACAATTAGGTATCGAATCAGTGCGTGATTATATGATAGGTCAGTTTTTCAGTGTAACACTAATTTCATCTAGTTATTTCATTCGAGACGCTTCTCGATTGGGCAACTTTTTAAAATAAAAAATTTACACTCCATTCGCGTGTGAAATGGAAAAATAACAATAGACGATTACTTACATTGCGTTACATACACAAGGGAAGGTCGAATTGATCTGTCACTCTTAATTTTGCAAAATTGTGATACATATTTGCGGTTTTCTTTAAAGAAGCAACCGGCCCAGGAACCGGCCAGATTGGCAAATCGCGAACATTTTTTGTTATAATTGAGGAACCTCCTTTTAATTTCGTGTATAACTTCAGATACACATCTTAATATAATCATGTTGAAATGCATGCAGACTTCATTTTTCTTGTCCTTACATAATTGCTTGTAACTTTACCAGGACCTTTCTATTATAATGTTTTGTATTAGAAATAACAATGATTTGTTTTTTGAGAACTGGATTAACTCTCGAAATTGGTGCTAATTAGTCTTGGATTGTAATATCGTGCCATATTTGGTACATTAGATTTGAGGAAAGTATTGGTGTTACTTCATTATTTGCAACTTATGAAATACTTAACAGTAGACTACATACGATGTTTACATAACTGAATGGCGCATCTTGTGCATTACCTATACCTCAATCATTAATTAGGTCTGACAAAAGGTTAAAACGCCAACGTTTTTGAATTAAATCGCCGCCTGTGGGATATCAAACAATTACATAACCAATTAGCTAATTACACCCTACCGTCACACTTCTATCCGAGACCGTTATAATTTTCGATTAGGTTGCAACATCAGTGTATTTGTCGAAATTTCAGCACGAAGATTAATTTCTGTTCTTTATTCACACAGTAGACAGTTCCGTATTCGAAAAGTAATTGTTCTGAGCGCATTAGGCTTTGCAAGCTGAGAACTGAAATTGGGCGAATGATAAATCATAGGGCCGGCTGTAATTAATTTTTGACAATACCCATATTTGTTTTCTGTCAGGTACGTTTGTAATAAATTACTGATTCTAGATCAGATAAATAAATTTTCTTCGCTCTGATTATTTAATAACAAAACTCGATTTTGAAGGAAAATACCTTGTATAATTACAAGAGAAGAATGGAACACATTCTGATTATGCAGATGAAGGTATGGGTATAGTATAGTAATAAAAGCGTCCATTAAATCGAGAAATAACACATTTCTATTTTCGGTCTCATTCAATACAAAAAGCATCGCACGAACTGTGTGAAGATGGTCGCATAAGACACTTTCATTTTCACGTAACTATTATTCAAATAATAATGTGTAATCCATAGCGACGTTAAATAAAATAGCGAAAGAGAATCGCGGTAAGCACAACACAACTGCACCGACTTACCTCTTACAGTCTTAATCCTTAAATGCCGCACAAGAGAACATAAAACTATCAACTAAATGCTGTGCTCATCCCATTTACCTTTTATATATACATGTGAACTGATGCTTTTCTATCTCCCCAATCATTCTTTTGTAACTTTCATCTAAGAGTAATTTTAATTACCGGCTTGGTCCATTGTGCTTGTGTACCTATGAGAGAGAGTAACTATATGACCCAAACGCTGAATTTATTCTTAATTAAATATATTAAATGAATCTTCAAAAATTGTTTAAGAATAAATCGAGAACTAATTGCTCCCATGAATATCATTCGCCATGTATTGTCCCCAACAAATGATCAATAAAAGTTATTGACTGTATAATATTATCCAAATAAAATAATTTATTATAAATACCCATTCAAATATTTTACTTTCTTTTTAGCGCATATTAAATCATTTAAATTTTTTCTTTATTTTGTGCAATGACAGACAGTTTTCCTTGTTTTAATGTAGTCAATTGACCAATTCGTTCCTGGACGATGATGAATGCCTGAAACGATGACAGTAATGAATTGGCGAAATGCTCTTTGCCGGAAATGCCGTTTGCCGCATCCACAATAGCATTTTAGTCACTCTCTGGTCCTTGGAAACCTCTTATTGTAACGTAAACCACATTCAAAGATTGAACGTTCCTTTAGGAGGTTCCGCCACCTTGTGTTTTGTAGGTTTTATAATTTTATAGACTATGTCAATTCAACTGGCATGGCGCGATTTTTCTGAGGAAATCTGGGTGATATGAATTCTTCTTCTTCTTTGTCTCTTCTAATGCGCAAGTTGCATGTTTCCAGACCTTCTTTTCATTATTTATGCGCGGGCGTCCCATGCTTCTCTTCCCTGGCGGTGATTTGCCTTTGTTATTCTTATTTTCGTCTGTTCTGCTGATATGTTGATTCCATTCTTCCTTTCTCTGTCTCCACCACATGTATAACGTTGGTAACCTTTTCGTACATGAATTATACCAGAAATAATGAACACCCGGTACGGCCACCGGCTATAGTAATGATAATCGGAATCTTACTGTCATTTAGGCAACCAACCGTACACTCTCTAAAATGGCAACGTTGAAGTGTAAGTTTTCCGGCGGGTATTCGCGTGGAATGGACCGCACGGGCGTCGTGCACTCCCGTCTTTGCTTCGGAATTTCTTCGTTTAAATATAAATAGAAACGCTAGAGCGGGTATAATTACAAGCATTCGCAAAACCGGATTTTATGCATTCCATTCTTGACTAATAAACGCCGAAGCAAAGACGACAATGCGCGACGCCATGCGGCACATCGCACATGAATCCCCGCCGGAAAACTTACACTTCAACGTTGCCATTTTAGATAGCG